GATGATTCAAGATATTCACATATTGGAAGGGATTGGCTAACAGATTGAGGAGGGATAGTTAGGGAAATGGAGAAATCATGGATGACACCCAGATTTCTGGTGGGAAAACTAGGAGAACAGTTCTAGGGAGGAAGGTGGAGTTACGGCTTTGGTTTTGGACATGTTGAGTGTGAGAAGCCCAAGAGACATCCAAGCAGAGATGTCACGTAGGCAGCTAGATTTGTAACACACTGTTACCGATCAGTTTGCTTCTTCCAGCAGACTGGTTTTCTATCTGACCCCAAACAGTATGTTAAGATCACCCCCCTCCCTTCACCTTTGCTCAAGTGGCTCCCTGCCTTTCCTTTCTCCTCGGCCTAGACAAATCCTTTCCACCTTTCGACATTCGGCTCAGAACCCCGCCTTCCGCACTAGGCTTCCTCCAACTATCCTGGCCCATATTCCTATTTCTGCAGCCCCAAGAGTCAGTGTGAAGCCTTTGAACAATTTAACCCCACATATCTCATAAAAGTCTGTCTTTATTTCACAAAAGTCCAGCCGGCTCTATCAGATTGTAAGCTCACCGTTTCTTTTACCTCACTTGTGTTCCTCACAAGCACATAGCGGTTTGTGCGCCTTTACATTCAAAGGGAATTAACTAGCAGATTTACACGAAAAGCTATGGAAGATTCAAAAGGAAGAAGATGAAAATAATCACGTTTCTGCCTTCTGAAAGAGTTTTGAGAAACAAGGTTGGAAATTTCCATTTCTCTCATCCGAAACAATAAATTTTACCATTAATTAAAAGTGTGGATTCAACGACTCCTATAGATATTTTTATCTTTGGAGGTTGAAAAAGCATTGACACAGCATGCCTGCGACAAGAGCTCTGGGTGGTATCAGTAGGAGCTGGGACCGGATGATTAAAATGTCTGAACTTTGATAAACAAGGACCGATGATGAAAAACATCTCAAAATCTAATGAGGGGAAGGAGAAGAGGCCGCTGATGGGAGGCCCCACCGTGTCTGTTAACATCTAGTTTCACTTAATGTCTTCATTAACGCCTGGGAGCAAGACTTACACGTTTTCATTAATAACATTTCTGGTTGTTACTAAATTAGGAGGTGCCGCAGACATCGCTGAGGACAGAGAAGTAACACAGACGGATCGAAAGAGGTTAGAAGTATGAATAGAAATTATCACAATGAGATTTGATTTAGGAAAAATGCAAATGAAGGCAGCTGGGGAAGAAATCATCCAAAATGCAAAATGATCAGTGGGTTGGAAACCTAGAAAGCGGCGACGTAAGAGTGTCTGGCAGGGTGGCGACGGAATCCAGAGCAAGCAATGGCAATGCGCCATCTCAGCCCACATGGCGGGTGACAGGTACAGGAAGAAATAGCTTGTCAAGGAATTGCATTGCGACAGTTTCCTCTGACACTCACAAACATTTTTGGAGATGATGTGGGACAATAAACAAACAAAAATAAGCTCAGACATTTGGGTCTTAGATTCTTCAGTTGTTGGAAAAGGGATTAGACTCACGGATCCTAAGGTTCCCCAGTTCCAACTTTCTGCGGTTCTAGGAGAAAAAGAGATTGGGGGGCTTAAGAGGTTCGCTATCTCCGGCACTTCTAAAGATCTTTATGAAAAGAAGACAGAATGCGACATACATAGCTTGAAAATACGTTTCCAGATAGATTCCAAATGGACAGGACCGCATGTGGAATTCATCTTGGTCAAGTGTGTCTCTCTTCCAATATAGATTTGGAGCTAAATTAACATATAAAATCTGGTAGTTATTTGTTTACAAAGATTCTCTCCACCAAGTGTTTCTTTACATAAAAACTCTTTAAAGTATACCTTCGAACTATTTTGTTGTTGTTGTTTACAAAAATTTAATTACCTTGCAATGGTTAGAAATGCATCCATTTTGCAAAGCAGGTAAGGTCCGCGTTAAAGAGACCGCGCTGTATTAAAGAGACTGTGGTATCCGTACATCGTCTATAAAATTACTCTTTCCTCAGCCTGTCACATTTTCATCCCTGAAAGTTCATTTTCTTAGGGGATTTCTCTCATCTTACCTACTGTCACTGGCCTAGATCCCCAACAAAGACGGAAGAGAGGCATCTTAGGGGAGGGGGCAATTTTATTTTCTATCTCAAAAGGCACATTTTTATTGATAGGAAGTGTAGTTAATCCTGCCGGGGCAGCGCAGAAAGAAAACGCCATGCCTCGCACGGCAGCTCCAGGACAGTTTCCCAGTTTCCCCCCCCCAAGTAAACTGTGTCTAAAAGCTACAAGGAGATAAAAAACTTGGGACAGATGAGGAGCTCTAGGGGCCTGAGCGCTGAGCCTGGGACAGGGGTGCGGGGGTGTCTGTCCATCCTTCCCTCCCCACACCGCCATCTGCACTGGGTCCCCGAGGCAGAGAGGACCCTCCATCCCCACCTGGAAAGCCATGGAGTTGGTGACAGCCAGAAATATCCTCAGGGGCAGCTTGGCCTTGTAGGACCTGTGGCTCCACAAGCGATGGGCTCCGGCCGTCACGCTCAGCACGGTCAGCAGGAAGCAGATGTAGGCTGCAAGACACAAGCAGGGACAACGTCAGCCACGGTCACCGAGCTCTGAAACGCCCCCCATGCCTTCTCTCTCCTGAGTAGCGACCCACGTGAAACGATGTCAGGGGAAGAATCTGCAACGTGAAGAATCGGTAACGTAAGTGGACGCGGCCTTTTTATCCATTTGTACCTTTCCGATACCAGGCGGAAGCAGAGAGAACTTTCTTCGGGAAACTTTGACCTTTGAATAATATTTTTTTTTCCTACATCAAACAAATCTTTTGTTTGCTAATGGTTTGGGCCAGTCTTGACGCAAAGTCACAACTGTGTCAGTGGACTATGTCACAACTATGTCATTTGCAGTTCAGTCTCATGGGTCCCCTCTCGGTGGCGTTGACATGGATCTCTGCGTTGCCGCTGCACTGGCACCCGCGCCAGGGTGCGTGTTTGAAGGAAATTGGCCCAGGCTGAAGAGCCACGGAGTCTGGCTAAGGGCCCAGCAAGAACGAGGCCACACCTGAGAGCAGGGACAGCCGAGACTCGCCTTCCGGACAGCCCCGCTGACATCAGCACTGGGACCTGAGATGCCAGGATGGCCGGGTGGGGAATTTTGTCAAAAGCCAACCTACCCTGGAGCTCGTTAGCTGACACACAGTGAAACACGTCATCTCTGACCCCCACAGCAGCTGCTGTAGTTCTCACTTCACAGCTGGGGAAGAGTCTCGAAGAGGTTGGTTGGTAAATCCTGCCCAGAAACCCAAGTGAGGGCACTTCCCAAGCCTCTGCCCAGAGACCCCAGGCCACCCAGGTGACAGTGGCAGTTTGCTCTTAGCCTGGAGGCTCGGGAGAGGTTCTAAGTGCTCCGTGGGGAGGAGCCGCACAGGGACCCCAAAATGACTATTCTTGAGATTATGACAGCTGCTCTAGTGGCTTTAAATATGACGCTAAATGTTTTACTTGGATTATCTTATTAAACCCATAAAACCCTTATGGGGTTTGTATAATTATCAGCCCCATTTTACAGATAAGAAAACAAAGACTTTAAGAAGTTAACTAAGGTGTCCCAGTGTCACCAAGCTAGGAAGGGTCTTTGCTGAGAATCAAACCCAAGTCTGTCTGAACCAAGAACTGAGTTTCTGACCACTCTACTCCTCCCTGCCTCTGGGAGACATCAAGAAAGTTTTATCTTCACTTCTCTGCACCCCGCCATCATCCTTAATATTGGATCTCAGTCTAAGTTTGCAAGTTAGCTGCTTTTTTTTTACTTGAGGGAAGAGCCCTCAACCAGGCTGTAGGAAGGCTGGCTCTACACAATTGCTTCTAGCGTGTAGCACGTACAGAGCTCTCCATGAAGAACTGCCAAAGCACAAGCGTTCGGCTGAGAGCACATCTCCAGAGCAGTTGAGAACGGTCTCAAGCCAGGACGAGCACTCAGGGAGCCCACCGCGTGCCTCTCTGGAAGAATTACCAGGGAACTTCAGTGCCAATATACAGATTTAAAGGGAGCGCACTATTACATCTTCCAAAAGTTAAGTGTTTGACTAATCTTGATCTCAAATCTATAT